CTGAGTCTGATTCACCCACCATATTTTAGTAATCCCTGAAAAAAACTGCATCATTTCCAAATACTGTCATAAGGTCAGAAAATTTTAACAATTGAGTGTTTTATTTCTCAGATTCATTCCCAGCTCTTCTGTCCAGCAGCTCATGGTCTATAAGCAAATGCTTAAGTTAACTGGGAATGGTGGTACTAAAAGAGCTCCCCAGTGCATATTTACTCTACACAGATGCACAGCACATCAGATTCACTGGGGTGGAGAGGGGGAGTTTTGAATAATCCTGTGCAAATTGTGCTGTCTAAATATAGACAGAAATGTACAAGGATTATCAAGTGGAGGGAGGCATAGCTACTTTGGCATTAATATGGAGCCTTTGTATTTGGAAAAGAGTTGAGAATTTTTGGCCTAGGGCACAGTGAGGGAGGAGGAGGATTTGAAGTGATTGACACAATAACAATAAATCATTATTAAACCAATTCTCTTCCAATCGTTCTTATTATCTCCAGAAGTCTCGTTAGGTGTTAATATGCCTCTAACGCCTGTCCTACACTTGCTGCACTTCCTTTGTAACTTAGAGGAGGCCTTGGGCTCAGAACATTGGCAAGCAGCAGATCACTAGAATTGTAACCTCTTCTCTTTTTGTCTTGTTGTCATTGTATTTGCTATTATGGTTCTCTTCCATTATGGCAAGTAATATTAGTTTTCTATTTGTGAGTACTGAAATATAGTTTCCTTTTAAGTAAGTTTAAGCTTGAAAGAAGTGAGGCAACTTAATGAAAATAATTAAGTGAATGATAGAGGTAGTAAACAAACAGGGCAAAAATTATGAAAGTGCTAACAGGAAACAGCTGGTAAACAATATATGGGAGAGGCTGGACTAGAGATTCTCAGAATATGCTATTGTGAATCACTCGACAAAACAGAGGATCACTGGGTAGTTCACAACGATTTCCTCTCCATTTTTCAGTGTGGCAAATTCAGAGCAGTGTATATACAGATTGCTAGAATTCAGACACATGTTTTGACTTGCTTGGATATAACAGGGCAGAACAAGCTTCAGAAACAAATCGTAATAATAGCATGACTATCATGATTTTATACTCTTCACAATTTACGAAGGACTTTCCCTTACGTTGTAGCATTTGGATAAGTCAACACTTGAAAATGTAAGTTCTAATTCCTTCTGTCTTTGAAGTGCTGTGTGACCCGAGGGCAGTAACTTAACCCCCCGGAGTCTTCATTCCCTCCACTTCGGCTCAGTGCCAAGGTTTTAAGTGAGCCAGTGGCTGGGTGACCAGACTGCAAATACCTTATTGCAGACATGCAAGTTAGAATAACCAGAAGACTCTTCAGCTTTGGGGAGGATTCTGGTATTAAATGGCATGTTATGGCAATAGCAAATGGTATGGGATAATTTGGGGCAAATTCATTCTCCCACTTTACTGCCTAATAGGATTCAGGCTTATGAGAGAGACCTAAGGGCCAAGAGATCACTTGTGCTCCAGGAACTGCTGGGAGGGAGTACTACGTTCCCAAATCTTATTATCAGAGAGGAGGGGTTGGAGAGAGTAAGGGAGCTTATGAAAGCTTCATAACTGCCACTTCTAGAGAGGTTCTGGAAGTGAATTATAACAGCAGAAAAGTCATAAATCACTAATTGTGTGCCTGTGGTCCCCTCTGCCCACACCAGAGGCACACAGCAGCCATGAGTCCAGTGCTGAATGGACTGTGGCCCCAACTGTGGGCCATGGGAAGCATCTGGGGGGGCTTTCCAGCCATGTGGGCTCCACCGTGCAGCTGAAAGCGCTGTGAGACAAGGAGCAGCCCCAGACCCGCTCTGAACTGCTTCAAACACACACACACACACACACACACCCCATGCCGCAAAGAGAAAAACAATGTATCAAGCGCTTGCTGTGTTCTAAGAACAGTCCTAGGTATTTAACTATGCTACCTCAGTTATTCCTCACGCAAAACTCATTTGACAGGTCAGAAAACTAAAGCTCCTCAGACAGGTTAAGTAACTTTCCCAAGGTAGCACAGCTAATAAATGACTAAAACAGGATGAATTCCAAATCATCTGTTCTTTTCACTCTCTTGCATTATTCTATATTATGTTTCACAGTACATTTCAAAAACAAACACATGCAATATGCACATCACAGACATACATCTACAGAAGCATTTTACACATTCACAGCCTGTATCCCATGTATATATACAGCTCACATACAGACACCTCACATATACACACAAAAAATGCCCATACTAAATGTGATACTTGACATACATACACATGAACACAGAAATTCACATTTTGCAGATATCTATGTGACCCAATTCACTATGCATCTGCAAACACCACCATGCACACTCTAGTCTCCACATACATCCATACACATCCATCCATCTGTATACATAACACATCTATACAGTCATACCTAGAAACCCGCCCACATCACACAAACTCACCTACATCCATAGACACACACAAAGAAACTAAAGCGCATTTGTTCCTTACCCTGTCCATCAAAATTAGCTCCCCACGATATGAGTAAGGATCTTCAGATTATTAAGCAAGAGTAAGAGTGTCTAAAGAGTCCTAGAATACCCTCTGAATCTTCAAAGCAATGCCAGATTGCTTTCAGTATTTTCCATTACTGTGTATAATAGTCTAATTATTTTAAAATTATTAATCCATGTATAAATATTTATGAACACTTTTTACTAGCCAGGATATTTGATTAATTAAAGTAGCACATTATTCATTCATTCATTCACTGTGCAATTACTGAGCACCAATTAAGTATGAGACACCATGGTAGACACAGTGGGGAATGAAAGAACAAACAAACAAATAATAAATAAAACCACCATGACTCCTGCTCTTAAAACACAAACACAGATAACTACATCAGCACCTGGTGAGTGAGTTTATGGGTGTTGAGGGGGGTGGAGGAGCAAGGAGACAAGACGGCTCTGAGGCTTCTAATCCTAGAGAGCGGAAGTATATTGACGTCATCTGGGGAAACCGATTTAAAGGAGCAAGTCTGGGAAGGAAGCTGTAGAGTTCAGTTTAGGAGATGAATTTGAGACACTGGCAGAATATTGAGATAAATGTGTCCCACAGGTGTTTTCAAATTAGGAAGGGGGTTTTAAAGAAGAGACCAGGGTGGTGACAGATTTGAGAGTCATCCATTATTAACTGATTGCTTAAACAGTTACAACTGATGAGACCAGAAAAGAAGCCGAGAGGAAGAACAAGACAGGTTGGGTACAAATCCTTGGGGAACGTTATGCGCTGCTTGGCTAGGTGACAGAAGCTTCCACCTTACACACACACACACACACACACACACACACATTCATATCTCTATGCATTTCTTCCAACATCCCAGTCCCACAAGCACATGTCAGTGCTGCTCATGGCTCCTAACTATCTCCTGGATATAATTTCACTACTAGGAAAGCTCAGTTGCCCAAAGCAACCCAAATTAGTGTTCTTCAACCTTTGAGACTCCAACATTGACTCTTATTGAAATCTATATGCTTTAAGAGTTTAGCATGGCAATTCCTCAAGGATCTAGAACCAGAAATACCATTTGACCCAGCAATACATTACTGGGTATACATACCCCAAAGGATTATAAATCATTCTACTACAAAGATACATGCACATGTATGTTTACTGCAGCACTATTTACAATAGCAAAGACTTGGAAGCAATCCAAATGTCCATCAGTGATAGACTGGATAAAGAAAATGTGGCACATATACCCCATGGAATACTATGCAGACATAAAAGAGAATGAGTTCATGTCCTTTGCAGGGACATGGATGAAGCTGGAAACCATCATTCTCAGCAAACTAACACAGGAACAGAAAACCAAACACTGCATGTTCTCACTCATAAGTGGGAGTTGAACAATGAGAACACATGGACACAGGGAAGGGAACATCACACACCAGGGCCTGTAGGGTGGTGGAGGGCAAGGGAAGGGAGAGCATTAGGACAAATACCTAATGCAAGAGGGGCTTAAAACCTAGATGACAGGTTGATAGGTGCAGGAAACCACCATGGCAAATGTATACCTATGTAACAAACCTGCACATTCTGCACATGTATCCCAGAACTTAAAATTAAATAAATAAATAAAGAGTTTGGCAGAGGGAGGGTCACGTTCTTAATACATGAGTAATTCATACTGCGGTATGAATGGGGCCCTAAAGCCACTTTGTTGAATGGGTGTGGGGTGGGAGAGGGGTGACAGAAACAGTGTGATGCATCCCCACAGTCTGATTTCTAATCACCTAACTCTCGATACAGTGAAGTAGGCTACTACCGATTTACTCTGGGTCCTACATCAGTCCCTTCTGCTAACTGGGCCTCAATTTCCCAAGTGAGATTTTCTGAAGTATATGTTTCTTGAGACAGTGATCCCGTAAGTACAAGCACATAAGCTTGTCAAAGCTTCTGAGGAGACTTGAGGTAAAAATGCCTGATAAAATTTGTGTTCCAGAATGCATCTGACTTTGCAACTTTTTAAAAAACTGGTGACTCTGATTCTGAAAATAAACCTTGAGGAAATGGTAAATTATTTGATCTCTAACATTCTTTCTGTCTGTGTGTCTCCATGGACCTATGAGAGTGCAGTTGCCCAACACAGGGTTAGGTCTACCAAAAGACTCACCCTCCACTCTTCTCTCCCAGGAACACCCAGCTGCCAAGTGTGGTTACTCAAAATCCCAGAGATGAAGCCCTAAAAATGTCAGTGACTTCTCAGCATCAATCAGACACTTGGCTGCCTGCCAGGATACCATGCTGGCTGATATTTGGGCTGGGTAAACAATTTAACCAGGGCCTTACCTCATTAAGGATCCATATTACCCATTTCTCCAGCTAAGAACACTCTTGTGGTTCTACAGAGGTTGGACAAGGCTGGGATCTGATCACAGTGTGAGAAAGAGCCATCATTAACCTTTTGCTTTCCTCTCTTCCTCCTTAGCCTTGCTGCTTCTAAGGAGGCTGAAGCTGCTCGCTCCGCACCCAAGCCTATGTCACCCTCGGATTTCCTGGATAAGTTAATGGGGAGAACCTCCGGATATGACGCCAGGATCAGGCCCAATTTTAAAGGTAGAGAAAACATTCCTTCCAGACCCACAGGGAAATGCTTTCCCACATTAAAGCAGCAAGCTGCATGGTATTGCACGCAGATAGTAAATACACAGTGTGAATCTCATGACTCTTTCCTCTACCCAAGGCAGATATTCTTAATCAATTCAGTCTTCTCTCCCGCCAAGCCCAGACAAAGCCTCAGAGGACTCAATTTAACAGCACCTCTGGTTTCCAGGAGTCCAAAAGTGAATTAAAAACTATCTGCTACCTCTTGTATAATGGAAAGAAGGATAAACATGGAACGTGGAGAAAAGGGTTCAAGTTTGGGCTCGAGTTTATTCTCTGAGCTTAGATGATGAGTCTCTCCCTTTCTTTGGGCATCAGTTTCCTCATCTGCGCAGTGATGGGCTTGGTTACTTCGGCAGCTTTTAAACATACGCTTCCCGAAGCTTTCAGGCTTCCATCAGGTGCCCCCAAAGGAGAAGCAGAGGGCATGATGAGCAAGCCCACGCTGCTCCTCCCCAAGCAGCTCCACTTTTATTTTCAATAATGGGGTCCCAACTAAAATTCTTCAGCTGAAAGTTTCCCATGGGCTAACAAATAATTTTGAAAAATTTTAGTCTAAATCAGAGTCATAATTTCAAATGCCTACCAGCGTTGATAACTTAAATCAGTGAGGCAAACCAAGAGTAAGACCATAGGGAGTGGTAGAGACTATGAAGAAATAGAGGTACAGGCTCCTCTACAGGGGCAGCCTCTCCTTAGCCCCAGTCTCTAGTTGCCCTGCAGAAATGTAGGCCCCATGTTGCCAGAACATCAAGTATTCCAAGAAGAGCCAGATACCGAGATCTCTGTGAGACTACCTAATTCCTAAAACATGTAAATTCAAATAAAACATGTTTGTGACCCACATATGCCCTATGGGTTGCCAGTTCACAAACTCTACTCCAGATAATCTGAAAAGGTTCTTTTACCTCTCACAATCCTATGGGAACTTAGTGTCTATAACCAAGAGACTAGTTCCCTTTGTTTACTGATGCCTCAGGAGGTTGCAGCCATCTCAAACTGCCAAGCAGAACCCTGCAAGTGCAGTCTTAAGGACCTCCTTGGCAGCCTATGCACTCTGACCTTCCTCCCAGCACCCTAGGAAAAATCTTATTCCAAGGACCTGCAGCCAGCCTCCTAGACAAGCCTTGATTTCAGGTGCCCTTCCTCACTGTTCCTTTGGCTCACGTTCAAGACTAAACAAGGCATGTGACAGCTGGTAACAGCTTCCTAATATTTGCTCACTTTGCCCCCTGCTCTCAGTCCCCTTCTCAGAGTGCTTGCTCCGCACAACTCTGCAAATAGAAAATGTTCTGGGAGATGCACCCAGGTCTCTGTTTGGGCCCACTCTCCCCCGTTTACCTCAAGGCTCCTTCACTCCCCCTGCACCTTGTTCCTGAGGCCATAGCTTCCAGCATTGTTAGCATAACCCCAAGGACAGGTAAGTCAAGAACAAGGTTGCTGCCCCCAGCACACTCAGCTCAAGCCTTCACCAGGATCACAATCTCTGATACCTAGAGGGGCAAGACAACGATAGTATATGAATGAAGCGGGGTGGAGACAAGAAAATAAAACCAGAAAACATAGGGCTTATCTAAGGGTAGCCACTTCTCAGCTCTTGTTAATGGCTGTCAGGCAGGAATGCAGACCCTGTACAGCCAGGCCTTCCAATACAAGACTTGAGTCTGAGGTTTTATCTGAAATCTTGCAAATTGACAACTAAGTCGTCTCTTTTAAAAACCGTGTCGGCCAAATCAAACACTTCCAAGAACTGGTTAGGGCCCTCGACAACCATGTTGCATCCTCTGTCCCTCGTTGCTTTTAGGAATTCTAGTCCACCACGCCCCCTGGTGGGCTCTCTCAGAACTCCATCCTATGTAGAGGCGCCATGGTCTTGCTCTGAGAGAGGAACTCTTTCAACTGTTGAATGTGGGTGCATCCAGAGTTTATGTATTATTCTTTGTGCATACCACTGTACTTGACACATAGAAAAGCCCCCGTAAACCTTCATAAAGGAATGAATAAATAAATAAATGAGCCCACAAATATGCTAGGGCTTAGAGTAGTTAAGTGAATTTTTCAAGTCATGCTGTGAAAACCAGAGACTTGAACCCAGTTACTCTAACTTAATTCTTTTTCTAATAATAGTGATTTATTTATTTATTTGTTCATTTATTTATTTACTTACTTAGAAGTGGACGTTTTTAAGAAATAAAATTTTATCCTGACCACTGAATCAAGGTCCTTCCAACCTTCCCACTCTGAGAACCTGACTCAGAACACTTGGGCCCAATATCTACAGAACTAGTTCATCTTTTAGGCACCTCTCAACCCTGCACTAGCCTTAACTCCCTCGACCCCCACCTGACTGAGAATGAGGTGCAGCTTCCTGGAGCCCCACCGCAGGAGCTAAGAAGTTTTCTCTGCCCTCCTTTGTGCTGAGGCCTGAAAAAGTGCCAAGAGGATTTTCTGCCCCTGAGCCCTTTGATGCCTTTCCTGCTTCCACCGACACAAATCAGATTCCCCAAAACCCCATACAAACCATAGAGCTCCTGAAAAGGCCATTGAGGATCAGGGCCCCTATGACTCCAACATGATAGAAAGAGGTCGGTATCGTTTAAAAACTCTACGGAGGGATCCATCACGCAGCAGCTGCCTTAAGTGCTTTTCCCTGCTCCTGACCCTCGTGAAAACACGGGTAGCCGGGAATACCAAGCACACTCTGCAGAGAACAATGGCAAAGACACTGTGAGGTGGAAGTAAAGGGCACTAAAACAGCATTCCAGTCCTCCCTCTACTTACCTGACAGGCATGACCCCAAATGAGACACTTACTGTATCTCAGCCTCTGTTTCTGCATCTGTAAAATGATCCAGCAGGACTATGCCATTCCAGCTCTGTCACTCACTCTGTGTCTTCTTTATGACTTTGTGTATTATAATGGCTCCTAGGATCAGGGGCACAGCCCAATGCAAATACATACAAAAAAAAAAGCAAAATTAAACTTTAATATTTAATGAAATATATACATTATCCTGCTGCCAAAGGCAGCTGAATTGTAATTTTCTCAAGGATAATTTAATTTCAGATTTATTTCAATGAACCGCACCTCCCCATAGGATCCTTTTGGCTGGCGCCCTCTCACACACATAAATCAGAAACTAATTTATAATTGGAGTCACAGTGCCAGACACTTGCAGGGACTGGATGGGAACTCTGTGCACATCATTTCAAGGCATAGGCAGTAACTCCTTGGGGTATCTTAATGGCATGAGGCAACAACAAAAAAAAAACCTGGGTCTGAGTCTAAATGAAGGAGAAAAATCCTGACCATTCAGGTTTTTTCCACCTGACCTTTGTTTAGGTGGAAGTGACAAGGAGGCAGACTTCCACTCAGCACAAGGAAAAAAATTTTCGCAGACAGAGCTATCCAACTATGGAAAGGGCTGCTCAAGAAAAAATGAGTTTCCCACTGCTGGAAGTATTCAGGCGCTCAGCCTTGAATGGGTAGCTGGTCTACAGCAGTGGTCCCCAAACCTGGCTGTACATGAGACTCACCCAGGTAGCTCTCTGAACACTAGACTCTTGGGCTAACCTCAGAGATTTGGTTTCACCTAGTATGGGGTTGGGCCAAAGAATCTGTAGTTTAACAGGTTCCCAGATGATTCTACTGCAGATAAACCTGTCTGCACTTCAGTTTGGGGAGAAATTGATGAGGTGACCTTTAAGAAACCTTCCAGCCCTAAAATCTTACAACCCTGAAATGCAAATGGATAGCTTCCATAAAGGAATTCCACATCACTGAAGCTGAGACTGACTGCCTAGATCAAGAGCTACTCTCTCTCCAGATTGATGAGGAAATTGAGGCCCAGGACAGAGAAAAGGCATTGCCAAGCTCAACCAACCAGTGAGTGCTGGAGTTATGTCCAAAACCCAGAGATACTGATAATCCCTTGAAGGAAAAACCTAGATTCTCATCCCAAGACTGAGTCCCCTCCTATATGCCAAGACTTCTGATCCTAGCTTAATTTGAGCAAAATGCTTAGGCTACTCTTTCAAGAGGGACAGAATGCAATGGGTACCAGAGGGCATAAGGACATATCTACTTTCTTCTTTCCACAATGAGAAAACTTTGGTTCAAGTCCTGGTTCTACCACTTGTTAGTTGAATGAGCCTAGGTGAGTTACTAAAATTCTTGGTGCTACCTTTGTCAAGTAGGAACAAGAATTCTGCCCTGCCTACCTCAGTAACTCATAGGAATCAAGAAAGTAGACCTGAAAAGAAAATCACAAATTGCAAATTACAATCTTCATGTGAAGGGCTGTGACCATTTATCCAAGTCCTATTCACCTTCAAAGTCATCTCCAGGTCATCACCTTTCTGAGGTCTTTCCTGCCTCATTCTCCAGAACTTCTCTTGCCTGGACTCCTGCTGTTTTTACCACTCTTACCCATAGTCTCACATTTTTCTTTGGTTATTTTATGTCAGCCCTTTTTGTCAGCTTATTTGGAAACCCCTTGCTGAAAATTCTGGACTCTGCCACTGTCTGTGTGATCGGGACCATGCCCCTTCCTTCCTCTAAACCTGTTTCCTGCAGAATAGCCATTAAGATGAGCACCCTTGGAGTTAGACAAATCTGAACTCAAACTCTGACTCACCCATTTACTAGTTATGTAGCCATGAACAAATAACCTCTCTGAGCCTCTGTTTTCTCTTCTGTAAAATGAAGGTAATAACCATACCTTCTCCTGGAGTTGCTGAAAGGATGAAATGAAATGATGTTAATAATACTCTCAGCACAGCAGTAACCCCCCTAATGTTTAGTAAATGGCAACTGCTATAATTGATAGTATAAAGTGAAGAGATTGGGCTTCAGTGAGACAACATTTCCTCTAGCAATGAGATAGCAAAGCAGTAAATAAGCCTCCATTTCTTTCCTACGCTTTGCAGTAGGATTCAGAAGACTTGCTCGGAAAGTATTTAACAAAGTCTGTGGACTTCCCCGGAGGTTCCTTCTGAATTCCTCAGCTGGTAATTCCCATCAATGCCTTTCAGACAATCATTCTTGGTTCATAAGTTCAAGGCAAGGAGCTTGCTGTTCCTTGTAATTCCCAAGATGGCCTCCAAATGTTGTAGCCATAAATATATTTCAGCCACTAATTTGTGGCTGAAAGGCAGCCGATGGGACTTGGGGAAGGAATTTCAACCATATGGCGGATGATGAATTATCCTGTGTTAATGAAAGTACATTTCAGCTCAGCCTCTGGTGTTCTGTACCTGGTGCTCACTTGGGGACCAGGAAATCTGACATAGAGATGTTAAATGGTAGCTGGGAATCCCAGGTGCTTGGGGGTGGGGTGGAGAGTAAGCAAGGATCTCCTCCACCAAAGGCGATCCATTCCAGAAGTCAGTGTTCTGGGAATGAGTCCTACCCTGTGAGTTCTTCCATGGCCATGGGGTTAAGCAGGAATCTCTCTTGATTGGCAGGTCCCCCAGTGAACGTGAGCTGCAACATTTTCATCAACAGCTTTGGTTCCATTGCTGAGACAACCATGGTGAGTAGTCAAAACACAAGCTGTTAGTTCCTGCTGGGGATAGCTCTCCATGAAATACTTATCCTCTGCATTGGTCTCCATCAAGGAGGTGGGGAATCAGCTGGGTTTTTTTCAAGTCTCCAGTGGTATACCATGAGGCTCAGATGTTTTTACTGTCACATTAAACGTTTTGAGTGAATACATAACATCTGAAAATGGCCAAAGAGCTAGCAGGGTAAGCACCTGCCAAACGCCCAGGATTACAAGAACAAAATTACACAAGTCAAATTTTTAGAGTAAAAGAAAATATGAAGACCTGTTTTTAAGTTTAACATTCAACTGCAGAATGGCAGAAGACTGCTGGTTATAGAAGCTGAAGTGGGTATATTGGGTTAATTGTACATTTCCTCTACTGTTGAATATGTTTAAAACTTTTCACAGTAAAAAAGTTTAAAATAAATCCATTACACTAGAAGAAATGCCTAGGAAAAAAATACCAAAATTGTGACAGTGATTATCTCTGAATTATAAACTTATGAATAATTTTTATTTTCTTCCTACAGTTTTTATATATTTTTCAAATGTCTGCAAGGGGTGAATATTAAATTAGTAATTATGAATAAGTATAATGGTATTTTTAAACTTTTCTCAGACTTTTTTGCTTTTTCAACAGAAAAGTCAATTGTATTTATGTTAAGGAAGTGATCTAGCTTGTGAAAAAAAATAATCAGGGCAACCTAAAGTTAACTCTAACCTATCAATTTCTGGACATCCACCCGCCCCTAATCTAGTTCAGGCTTCCATCGTGGCTTGCTTACATGACTGCAAAGGGTTCTCGCTGGCTTCCAACTTGCCCCCTTCCAGTCTACCTTTTCCCATACTAGCCTTTCCAAAACACAAATCTAACCACTCCACTGCCCCGATTTAAATTCTTCCTATGGCTCCCCCATCACCCTCAGTGTTAAACCCAAATTCTTTTGCAAAGCTGAGGAAGCTCCCTGTGAATAACCCTGCTTCATCTCCTCCCTCTCCCGCTGCATCCTCTAGCTGCACCGATTGCTTACAGCTCTCTAGCCAGGTTGTCCCTCACTCCCTGCTTTACAGGCTTCTGGTGATTGCTGCTAGGCCACTGCCCAGAGCACCCACTCCAGCCTCCTTTCCCTTGCTAATTCCTATTCTCCTTTAAGACTCAGCTTAGAATTATTTCCACAGAAAGCCTCCCCACTCTAACATGCACGTCATGTGTGTGAGTTCACATGTGCTCTTCACCCAAGGCTGGCATGGGTCCCTTCTGTCCATTCTCATGACACATTTTACAGTTTCCACAATAGCACTTGCCACTTACAATTACCACTGTACCAACCTGCTTATGTGTCCCTCCTGTCACTCTACTGTAAGTTATATGGGGGCTGGTCTCTTGTCTCATTTCCTGTGGGAACCTCAGCAGCTAGCACAGTGATTGAATAACAGATACTCAACAGTTTTTTTAAAATAAATAAACCAAATCAATTATATTGCTTATCAATTAAAACCAGTATTTGGTTCTAACCCTTTATGGGGATTACATCCAACCTTTCAGTCCCAGACTGGCAAAAATCACTGAGTTCAAGATGAGGTGGCAAATGGTCTAGAAGCTGTCCTTTTGCAAACAGGCCTGTCTTGATATGGTCAAAAGATCATGCCCACATTCAAAGGACAACTGGTGAAACTCCCTAAAGTAACAGGCCTCTTATCTCCAAATGGAGATGGTTCCACTTGTTAGCTAGGAACAAACATGGGTGCTTTTCACTGGATATCCAGGTCAAATAAATAGCCACTTTTTTTCCACCTTTGAATGGATATCTTACAAGCACTCTTAATGAACACCTCTGCTTTTCCTCCCCTCCTCCAAGATCAGAAGCATGTTGACATTTGTATTAATCATAATATGTACAGTAAATGTTGACACTTCCACTCTTTTTCCTCAATGGTAAATGGTTATCAAGCCAAGTCAGGGAGTGGACCACCTGGTTCTGTAAAGGACCTGGTTATTTGAGGACAAGTGCACATATCTGCACTCATTTCCCAATAATGACCAAACACAGACCTAATTCCTTCAAACAGATTCCTAAAAAAGAAAGATATAGCCTTACTTCCTGTGGTGACTAAAAGCCCAGCTCTGGAGTCACATACACTGAGCTCACTCTGTCTGCGAGGAGCTTATTTGCTTCACGTCTTTAAGCCTCAGTTTCTTCATCTGTAAAATCCCAATGGTAATTAACATACTGATATCATTAAGTTAGTATGTGTAGTGTGTAGAGAAAAAATTGTTTTGTTTTGTTTTGTTTTGTTTTGTTTTGTTTTGAGACAGAGTTTCACCCTGTTGCCCAGGCTGGAGTGCAGTGGCACGATCTCGGTTCACTGCAACCTCCGCCTCCCGGGTTCAAGCAATTCTTGTGCCTCAGCCTCCCGAGTAGCTAGGATTACAGACATGTACCACCAGGCCCAGCTAATTTTTGTATTTTTAATAGAGATGGAGTTTTGCCATGTCATCCAGGCTGGTCTCAAACTCCTGGCCTCCTCCACCCACCTCGGCCTCTCAAAGTGTTGGGATTGCAGATGTGAGCCACCGTTCCCAGCCTAGAAAAATGGTTATCATTGTATATGCTTTGTAAAGGCTCACGAAACATTTTTGATGATGGTGATGATGATGGAGACTCTGGACACTGCAGTCCCAACATTATCATTGATGATTTCCTGTGTAATCTTGAACAATCCTTAGACTTCTCTGAGCCTTGGTTTCTTCCTCCTCTCCTCTCCACTCCCACCCCCACAACCCTCACCCCCCATTTCCCACCCCACGTCTTCTGACTGCCTTTCCAGACTTCACTTCTGCTGCATTTTGCTTTCTACAGAAACAGTGTAGCAGAGTAATTAGACACAGTCTTCAATGCCCAGACAAAATTTGAGGCTCAGCTCTGTGATCTTGGCCAAGGTATTTTAAAGTTGGCTTTCTCATCTGTTAAAAATAGGGATGCCGGTAGCATCCACCTTATGGCCTGCTGTGAGTATTAAGAGATAAAGCATGGAAAGTGTGAAGCACAGTGCCTGACACAAAGTGCACATGCAATGAGCCAGCTATTGTTACATGCCATTTATCATTTTCAGCACATTTTCACTTTCACACTCTCACGTGATTCCTTCACCAAATATGTAGTTTTACAACCACTCTGTGAAGTAGGCATGCTATGTTCCCCATTTTACAACTGAGGAAATGGAGATCTGTACAGATCCTATCACAAAGCTACTTAGTGACTGTGCAAGGATTAAGATCCAGTTCTCATAACCTATAGATAAGTGTTTGTGCCGTGCCACACTGCTGTAACTCCAAAGAGCACCAACTAAAGAAACTGGAGGACCAGGACCTACAAAGTACATGTAAGCAACAGTCTAAGTGCATCAAAAGTGGAAACCCAACCCAATATCATGCCATGCCCCGCTCCCCTTAAGAGAAAATAGTAAGTAATGATAATGGAGATAATCAACAAAGGACCCTAGAGGAGATGGTCCTCTGGAGTAGAAATAATCTTCTGACAGGAAATGAAGGATCAGTTATGATGTGCTGCCTTGAAGGTAGACCATAAATGACACAGTTTTCTCCCTATTTATTACAGTTAATCCAAAGTAGGGCAGAGGGTGCTATTTCCAAGCTTGCACATTTCATAATCTAGTAAGATCTCACTTAACATCACCAATAGGTTCTTACAACCTGCAACTTTCAACGAAATGACTATAACAAGACCAATTTTCTCGTCAACCTTATAACAAAACAACATTATTTGATAAACTGCTGTATGTCATTTCACTAAAAGTCTGTTCCCAATAACCTGTCGATGATGTTAAATGAAGGCTTATGTACTATGATTTTTTTCCATTGGCTTCTTAATTATTTGTGTGTTTAACTTACTTTACAGATGATATGGGGAAAAAGTCTCAGATTAAAAAAAAAACTTAAGAAATTGTCTAGTCTGGCTCTCTATTTTCTGGAGAGAGAATCTGGTGGTTAGAATGGTAAGGTCATTTGAGCAAGGTCACACAGCATGAAACAGGTGTGATAGAAACACAGGTCTGACGCTGTCTGCAGTGGTCACTAGTTCCCCTCCCTTCAGCTTCTTTTCCCTCTGGATTCCACCAATCAAAACTTTTGGATGACTGTCCCATCCAAGCCTCTTTTCTTGTCACTCAAAGTATCTTTGGGAAACTGGTATTAGTATGAAAACAAGAAAAACAACTTGTTCTTGAAGAACTTATTATATGCTGCTACACACCAGACAGTGAACAGAGCACTTCTGTATCCACCACCTAATTTAGGCTTGATAACAACCCCCATAAAGTGGGAAAGGTTATCTCCAGTTTACAGATGAGAAAGCTGAGGATCAGAAAAGTAAAGTTATCTTCCTAATACGTAGCAAGGGTAGAACTTGAACTCAATGCATGGTCTCCTAAGCCAAATGTAAATATTTAATTCCTGAATGTTTGGGACTACTCAGACCTTCCTTGTCTCCTTTCATCACAGAGAATTAGATAAAAGGGAACTTGAGCTTGAACAGACATAGAAACTGGAGGCCAGAGAGAGGATTGCACTTGCCCATAGACACACACATGCAGCTAATTAGTGGCACGGTCAGCCCAGGGTCCCTGACTTCCAGCCTGGGATCTGCCTCTCCAACCACACAAAGAGCTAGTGTGTACCATGGGTCCAAGGTAATATGGACATCGTCCTGGTGTCAGAAACTTTCCAGGCTGTGTTTGTTCTCCAGAAACAGCAGGAGTGCATAGCAGTTCTATAAACAGCTGGAGTCCCCAGGCCTAACTGCCTGCCTCCCAGGATCTGGCTTTATTCACCGGAGCTAACAGACCTGAGAGCAGAGAGGCAGCCAGCAAAGCAACAGGGGTCTCTATCCAGTCCTGACAAGGAGAGGGCTGAGACTACCTGTCCTTTATCTGACCTTCTCCAGGACTCTCTCTGAGTCTGTGCAGCA